TTTTCTTTTTGCGTTGCTTTCCTTAAAAACGAAGGCCATTCCATCCAGGCGAATTCATCTTAAAACCCTTTTATTTCTAGCGATAAAGTTAAATTAAAGACAGCTCCACTTGGATTAATAATCTACAGAACAGTCCATATGCCAGTGAGGCTGCTATTCCATACCAGCACAGCCAGCCTGACTTCCACTAGTGGTGTTTTGGCAAAAATGTCAACGAGGCAATCAAAGACAGGTCGTGGGGGGTCCTCCCTGGGAAGGTGTCCCCTCCCTTTCCCTCCCCCACCCCGACCCCCCCCCACTCGTGGGAAAAAAATAAAGACTGCAGTAGTTAGCATCAGCGTGCGGCTGCCAGTCCATCGCGGGGGTCTAGTTGTTGCCTTCGCCACCGTCATCGTCTTGCTGATCGCTCGTCCAGAGCGTTAGGTTGTCACGGAGGAGCTGCATGATGAGCGTTGAGTCCTTGTAGGAGTCCTCGTTGAGGGTGTCCAGCTCGGCGATGGCGTCGTCGAAGGGGGGGCTTGGCAGGCCTGCTCCGGCGCATTCTGGATCTCGTAGTAGAACACCGAGTAGTTGAGCGCCAGGCCAAGCCGGATGGGGTGGGTCGGCTGCATGTGCTCCTTGCTGATTTCATGGGCTTCGCTATAGGCTTTCTCTGAAGACTCCACCACGGTCGCCCTCTTCTCACCGGTGGCCACTTCGGCCAGGTAGCGGTAATAGTCCCCTTTCATCTTCAGGTAGAAGACTTTGCTCTCGTACTGCGTCTCGCTGCAGTTCTTGATCAGGTAGTTGTCCAGCAGGCTCAGCACATCCTGGCACACCGCTTCCAACTCCTTCTCAATCTTCTCACGGTAGGCCCGGACCATTTCTATCTTCTTCTCGTTTCCATCGGCAGAGGTCTTCTGCTCGATGCTGCTAATGACCCGCCAAGAGGAGCGCCGCGCCCCCACCACGTTCTTGTAGGCAACGGACAACAGGTTCCTCTCTTCGTTGGACAGAGGCTCGTTCAGCTCCGTCACCTGCATGGAGAGAGGGAGAGAGAACAGACGTGTGGGTTAAGCCCCAGCCACTTGACGCTGCTGTCACACGTTCAAGGTGCTCCCTGCATCTCTAGTGAGAGGCAGGAGAAGGCGGCCGGCTGGGAAATAGCGCCGTGGTCCGGTAACCCAGCAAAAGGGGCAGGCTGGGTTTTACTCGAGGTATTCTCCGTCTCTTGGAAGGTCAGTGTTTTCCAGAACAAGAAAAACTCTCTAGGAAAGAGACGCCTTTCACCTGCAGGATGAGAGTCGGACTTCGTGATGCAGGCGAGAGGGACAGAGCAAGAGGGTGGAGATGGTCCAAGGTTACGAGGTAGCTGCATGGACTAACCATACCACAGCTACAGGGCGTTCATCTTCTCTGTTTCCCATAAGCACAGGGCATGCTTCCAAGATGTTGTTCAGAAGATGTTGGATGTTAAAATTACAGCTGCCTAAGGCATCTGCGCAGATAAGGACCTAAAAGCTCACATGGCAGGAGTATGTTCTTCCCACACAGGATTTCCTTCGTGGAGGGTAAGAGTGTTAATGCACAGCATCGCTTCTACCTGCCTCCCGCACCACGGAAACCGAGGGATTAAGGAGACGATGGAGAACAGAGTCATCTCACATGCAAGCTGCCAAACGCTGCCTTGGCAAGTTCAGTTACTGGGAAGTATCACACTCAGTACTGCAATAATCTCACTCCAGCTCCTGCAAACCCATCGCTGCCTGAAGCCACCCAGGCAGCACCCCAGCAACGGTGAGGCAGCCGGCCAACTGCTGCACCAGCTGCCCTGCCTGATGGGCAGCGGGCAGCTTGGGAAGGGCTCACATCCCCCCCTGACTCCATGCTGTGCCCAGTACATAGGTCTCTGCACCCTTGGAGCAGGTGCAGCGGCCCAGGACCCTGTGGCAGCCAGGCTGCTCCATACAGCCACTCAGCTGGGGTGGTTACAGCTGCCAAGTTGGCACTTGGAGCCTGGATATTGCTGCTGTTCCCTTCCCCTAGGGAAGGGGGACTGCCCCACCACATACACACCCTGGCAGGAATCTGTAAGCCTCCTCTGGGCAGTCACTTCTCACAAGGATTAGGTAAATGGTTTGGACATGAAAGGTTTCTGCAAACATTGAACCGTTTTCACAAGCGTTTGCAAGAGCAAGGTTTGTTCTGGGGCGAGATAACCACGTTCACAGCGGGACCAGGAGGCCAAGGGCTCATGCTGGAAGGCGCAGAATGGTCCAGCCCAGGACTTCATTTGAGTGGCCTGGAATAGTTCACCCTCACTTATGCCATATTGACCCGCCCATTTCAGCAACATCCACTCCTGCCTGCAGCTCTTCTGGCTAATGTCTTCTCCCAAAGCCAAGCTACAGCTGAGCCTCAGTTTCCCACGCAGCAAGTAGAGTACTCGGGTCCCTGATGCAGACCTCCTCTACACCTTTCCTCAAGGCAGAGGCAGTAAGAGCAGCCTCCACTCCCACTTCCCACCGGCGTGTAGATCTGTGCTGCTCCATGAGATGCTCTACAGCCTGGCAAGGGAACCAGCAAACAGCCCATCTCCAGGCAGGAGAGGGACTTGCTCTGTAAACCAGGCACAACCGCCTTCTGCGTCAATGGTAAGAGATGGCTGAGGGACATGGGGAGCGGGTGTCACGTTAAAGAGGGCAAAGTCTCCCATGACTATCAACAACCACCACCGACAGAGGACAAGGTGCACGGGGCAGTGTGCCAAGGCAGCTCCCAGCTTTCACGCCCCAAGGTAAGCAGGGTGTGTGATGCCCTGGCCATCTGGCAGCTCCCAGTGCCAGGGGACTAACCCACATCCCACCACGCCCAGGCTAACAGTGGTTTAAGCAGACCGCCCTGGGTTGTGTGTGATGTGCTGCATCCCACAGAGAGGCTGGGGCAGAGGCTCAGCCCTGCATGCAGCCCGACTGCAACGTGCTAGGAGAGCCCTGGCAAGTCCTCGACATGCTGCTTCCAGGCTGCCTTGTGCTCTAAGTTCAGAAGTCTCTGCTTGTCTGTATTTTTATAGGACTTAACAACTTCAAGATGATTCCATTCATTCTTCCCTTTGAGCGATACCTGCACAAACATAAATTAAAGATACTGTGAGTTGAAAGCCATCTTTGAAAGATACTGGAACACAATGAAGGTCCCCCTGCCCTAGAGCTCCATCCTTGGAGATATTTGAAACTTCATGAGACAAAACTCTGAGTAACTCGATCTAGGTTGCCCTGCTTTGAGTAAGGGAGTTAGGGCTAGAGACATTCAGAAGTCCCAGCCTGATTTATTCTCTTACCTCCCAGCTGTAAACGGAGTGTCGGACATCAACAGCCATACTATGCCCAGGGAAACGCTGATTCCAACAGTTTTCCGTCCTGACACCGGTTATGAAGGTTGATAACCACATGAGGTCTTGCTTTTCACGAGACACTCTGAGCAGAGAAGCCAGTTTTAAATGTGGGCCAGGCAGGTGACTTTAAAACTGCCCTACAGTCAAGTTTGCAGATATTTATCACAGCAGAAAGAGGCAGATTTCCCTCCTCTCACCAAAAGAGTCTCGTTGGAGGACAGATTTATTAAAACTACAGGGAGTTTCGTAGGATTAGCTTTGCCATAAACATTTTAAATTCAAAGCTATTAAGGATTACAGAAGAAAGTTGTCTGTCAAAATGCTTTCAACAAACTCACTGACAGATGGAAGGTACACCTGTGGAGAACGCCGATTCCTCCGGGGAGCTGGCGGGGAACTTAGGGAAGCAGAAAGAGAACCTCGTTAACCATGTAACTCCCTTCTAGCAGCGCCCAGGCTCCCAGTAGGATAGAGCACTGCAGAGAAATGCAAAGGTGTGACACGGCCGGAGACAGGGAGTGTATCCCTCAGCACTAGGAGAGGGAGGGAAGAGGCTGCAGTCCTGCACATATTTCACTTTGCAACTGAACCGAGAGAGGAAGAAAGGAAAACCATCTGGCACCTGCATTCCCAGCAGGAAGAAAACACAAGATGCCCAGGACACTAGATACCAGACAGCCAGGGTACGTTTAGCTGATTCATCAGTCAGTGGAAGGTGACAAACACGCATCCCAGTGCGCTGCCCTGGGAACCGCCATTGCCACTGCCTCTTGTCTGCCCATGGCCGGCCTGCCACCTCTCAGTGCCACAGCTAAGACACTGCTGCCCACTTGCCTGCCCACCCTACAGAAGAAGGATAGGCTGGTGTCTTTGCACGATCGGCCACGACACACGCAGCACTCCAGGCGGGATCGCACAGTCACCAGTACGCTGCGTTTGCCAACAGCGCTGCACGGATGAACATCTCCAGCAGAGGCCCGTCCAGGAACTGCTGCAGCAGCCTGTCCTGTGGATGTGGCTCTGTGCCTTCACCGTACGCCCGTGCTGGCCAGCCAAGCACCGGTTCCTCCTGACACTGCAGGATACCAACACGAAGCGAGCTCCATCAAGCCAGAGGCTGAACAGCAAGCTCCGATACACCGAATGTAGAGCCTTGCACTAAGTGCCTCTGGTGCACCATCCATAAGGCAGTATCCTGCATCCGGCTGGGATTAGATCACAGCAGTCATTTTAGAAGCCCCTTCTGAGAATTTTTGCCGATATTTGTTTCCAGCATCCAGATTAATATTGCCAGAACCTTCCCCCTTCTTTAACTCAGACCTGGAAGGGTCTCACCTCCCTTCAGAAGTGCAGCACCCTCACACACAGACTGACCCTATCAGCTCAGCTGATGTCACTCCCAGCACTGTTACATGCAGTTACAGACTTCAAACATCAAAAAAAAAAAATCTGTTTGACCTTGAAAGGGCTTGGCAGGAACACAAAGCCATCGGCCTCCGGCTGGAAGTCTCCCTGATCTCTGGGAAGCTCCAGTCACTTTGGAGTTTGACTTCCCTGGCTGACAGCAGAGAAGAGCAGAACTTGCTCCACAAATCCCAGGAACCATCAAGCCTTGTTCCACGCTTGTGCCCCTGCAGATCAGTGGGGGGAAGGGAGAGGCAGGAGATGCACACTGCTGGAACGGAGTCAAGCCTGGCACGTGGCACAAACAGCCAAGTGCAAAGAGCTGGGCAATATGCTCACGTCGCTGGAAACTTGATAGGTTCAAGTCTCGGAGCTATTCTGGAAAATAAAAAACCTTTTTCACGTTCCTTTCTGTGCTTCCCCCCAAACAAGCGCAGCCTGCAAGCCCAGCCACACGGCCAGCTCTTTACTGGTGCAGAGCAGTAGACCCCAGCAGTCTGTGGGCAATGGTTTTACTTGCAGGAGCCTCCCCATGCCCTGTCACAGAGCGCGACACGTGCCAGGAGCCAGACTAAGAGCAGGAGCAGAGAAGACACTCGGACAGAGGACAGGTCTACAGCGGGCTTGGCACGGAGCAGCCCACACTGCCAGGCTTTGGCTTGGAGGCACGCTCCATCACCAAGCTTGAGGACGCTGCCAAGTCCCAGTCTCATCAGTTCCTGCAGCCTCCATGGGCACAGTGTCTGCACCACGGAGACTCAAGCGCCCTAAAGGCACAGGGACAGTCCAACCGTTCCCATTGGAGAAAAAACTACTGGGAGTTTAGTGTTTCTACTGCTTGAGAGTCCTGAGGTTTGTAGAAATCAAAGCCCTCTGATTTGCAACCAAGCTCTTCAGCGGCAGCACGATCTCGGAGAAGGTTCTCTCCATTTCTCTCCTGCAGCTGGGCGCTCTGACTCAGCACTGCCCAAAAGCTGGCAGGCTCCTGGCATGCCCACGTATCACACTGCAGCCAGGAGAAGGCTCAGCCTCACATGCAGAAGCTAGGGAGGATGCAAAACTTGACCTGCCCCAATGTCCAGGTCCGTGCCCTCCAAAAGCCCAAGGGTTGGTCCTAGTGCACCTTTTTTCCAGAAGCACCCTGATCAGCAGGCTTTTCCGAGATCCACAGGGGAGGTTTGCTCCCAGCCAGCACAGGTTAGTTTGCTACAGGGCTTATTCCAGGGGTCTTATCCTCCCCTTCTC